CGTGGTGAGAGGTAGACGTACGCTGACTCGCGTTGGGAAATTTAACTGAAGTGCCGTTCACGAATTTTGAGGAAATATTAATTGTGTTTTAAGTGTGAGATTATATAGTGCAGGTGAGATTGTATAGCTCAATTTTTATTCTCTTGTGCATGTGATTTAATGTAAGATTTTTGAGTGTTTTTTTTTTCCCTGAAAGATTTTCGCCTCTTCAAACTGTCTGCGATTGGTGAGTCGTTTTTTTTTTCTTTTTGAAGTTTCGGTGAATTTGAGTGTGTCTTTTTATATTCGTCGTGTATTCCGCAGGTGTGTACTTTTCCCATAAAATTATACGTCTTCATCTCTCTCCATCGCCCTCTTTGGGAAAAAAAACACAGATAAAAACACCAAAATATAACATCTCCATCCATATCAACCATTTTTTTTTAAGATCCGCATTTTCCCACCTTCGTTGCTCTCCATACCCCCCCCCCCACTTCTCCCAAACTATGTAAATCCCCCCCAAAAAACGTAAAAAAAAATCCCAACCTCGAAGCGCAGACGGAGTGAGGTTTAAGGGGTTACCCTGGGGCGCCCTTGCCTCGCGGGGACCTTACCAGGGTTCAACGCCGACCTTTTTTCTCTCTTTCTCTCTCTCTTGCTTCCCTTCTCGTTTCTTTTGTGTGTTATATATTGTTTTCTTTGTATTTTTTTTCTTCGTGTTTCGTTATGTCTTGTTTTGGTTTGGTTTGGTTTCTTCTCTTCATTTTTCTGTTGCTTTCTGAAACTTCGATGCTCTTTTCCTCTCTAATCTTCTCTCTATCAGTGCCTCTCTTTCTCTTTGCCTCGTTTTCTTGTTTTTTTATTGTTTTCATTTAGTGTTTGCCTTTGTCGTTTTCTCTTTATTCTTCTGTCCCTGTCTCCTTATTTTTCGTCTTCCTCTGTCTCTGTCTTCTCCATTCCCCTTCGCCTTTTTCCGACTCATTTCCTTCCTCTACCTATTTACTTTATTTATCTTCTGTCTCCTTTTCCCTCATGTTTTTGTTTTCTCATGATTCGCTTCCTCCTCGTTTTTTTTTCAAGTGTAGGAAGACGTAGCTATTTCTCGCTTTTTTCACCCTTAAATCTTTAAAAATTTAAGGGTTTTAAGTAGTGTTTTAGGAAAGAGAGTGTGTGTTTTCGTCCAGTGTCTTCGGAAATGATCGGCAAATATGAAGTATTTTGAAAAGAAATGGAGGCGTGACGATGGGTTTATAAAGTGATTATTCTCATATTTTTTGTAGGCCTACTAAAGCTCACGTTCGGAAACTATTCTGGAAAGAAAGGATGGACAGAAAATACTTGATATGATATACTTTTAAAGCTAGAAGAAAAAAAGATGAAATAGTATCTTGTCAAAAGTTACTTACACAGGAGAATCAAGTACAGTAAAAAAAAAAACACACAAAAAAAAAACAGGTAGCTCTTCACCCATCCCCCTTCCTCCGACCCCCCCCTTCCTCAGACCCCCCTTCCCTCTTCCACCCCCACCAGCACCTCCACCAGGTCACACAAGGTTGGCGCGTAAGTGGAAGTCAAGGTGGAATCGTGTGGTAGCAATCGAAGTGCCATTAACACACGCGGAGCCACAGACAGAATTCGAGGGGAGGGGAGGAGGGAGAGGGAAGAAAGGAGGGAGGAAGAGAGGTACAGAGAATGAGGGAGGATGGTAAGGAGGAGGGAGGGAGAGAGAGAGAGAGAGAGAGAGAGAGAGAGAGAGAGAGAGAGAGAGAGAGAGAGAGAGAGAGAGAGAGAGAGAGCGAGCGAGCGAGCGCACGCGCGCGTGTGTGTATGTATGCATGTGTGTGAGAGAGCGTATCTATATGGCTGTGACCATGTACTTCACCCTACATGACTGACTATGTAGGTTCACGGGAAAATGGTTTTATACGCTCACGCTCTTTACGTACATGTGTGTTGATGAATCTCTTTGCAAGTTCACGCATGTAGGCTAAAAAGTTCATCTCCCCCCAAAAAAAAAAACGTTATGGTAAATTGAATTTGTTATCATCATGCAAACTACTTTTTTATTCCAATTCATAGCAGGTGAATGTAGCCTACTTCGGTTTATATTTTGATCTGGGTGCATTGGTCGCGTATTAGATCATAATCCAGTGTGATCATAGTATGATTTATGCGGTAGATTTTTCTTTTTTCGTGTGTCATTGTGTAAAATCCATCTCTATGAGTGCTTGATAATGCCGTCGCACTACATCTTCGAAAATAAGTACAATTTGTGTGTGATTTGACGAGTAGTTTCAGAATGAGAAAAGTCGCTTGACATCATTAAGGGCACTGATTTGGGACGCCGCTTAAGAAGTGTGGTAACTTTTGATTGCTGTTTGAACGCTGCTATTTGGGAAAAGCCTTTTAATGAAGTAATGGGTTTTTAACCAACTGAACATAGGCCTATCATCTGTAAATAGCTGAAAGAGCTTGAAAACTTGACATATATTTTTTTTACAAACTAATGATTACAAAGTAA